TGAAAAATGAATATTAGGGTTACAATATTAGGCAAGGTCATTCTAACTGCACCCATGGACTGTCACGACCAGCCTCTTCACCACTCGTTTTTAATGCTCTCTCCCTCCTTTTTTCCTTCCAGATTTAATTACTTTTTCTGACTAATGTGTGTTCACAGTATAAATAGTACAGAATGTCTTGTGTGAAAGAAACTGCTAATGAATCTGTATACGTGGGATCTGTCCATTCTGTGACATGTGTTCCTTTGGCTTTAACACCATTGGTGCTAAATTGTATGTGATGCTGACTGTGTGTAGGCAATGAAGGCCAGAGCAGGATAGTTCTAATAATATTGGGAAACAACATCTCCTAACAGTGCAAATGAAGAACTTCCAAATTGAGGACGGTTCTTGTAAATTGGAAAAACCAGAATTACTTGTTCTACTGAATAGGAATACAAAATAAAAGTAAGAAACACAGGAAACTGAAGTGCTGAGATTAATTCTGTCTGATGATCACTGCATATCACTATAATAGGAAAATTATCATGGAGCAACCAAAGGATGGTGAAATTTAACACTCATGCCAATGTGTTAGAAGCTATTTAATACTAAGAACAAATATCCATCTTAAAGTCTCATTTATTCACAGATGAGAATTTTTTTTATACCAAGAGGATATCTATATCTACACACACACCCATGCAAAGTGAAAACCCACAAACATTTGGGCATCTTTAAATAAGCTATCCAAAATATCTATGATGAAATCAGTAATTGTTCTGTAAATTCATATAAACAAATATTACACTAAGAGGATCTTAAATTTGAAGGTGCAGCTTTTCCTGATTTGAGTGCTTAAAGGTAAGATTCCTTGCAAAACAGTACTTCTGCCTCTTCATAAATATGCATTACGAAACAGTCTAACTCAGGGGTAGGCAACCTATGGCACGTGTGCCGAAGGCAGCACGCGAGCTGATTTTCAGTGGCACTCAGACTGCCCAGGTCCTGGACACCAGTCCGGGGGGCTCTGCATTAATTTAATTTTAAATGAAGCTTCTTAAACATTTTAAAAACCTTATTTACTTTACATAACAACAATAGTTTAGTTATATATTATAGACTTCTAGAAAGAGACCTTCTAAAAATGTTAAAAAGTATCACTGGCACGCAAAACCTTAAATTAGAGAGAATAAATGAAGACTCGGCACACCAGTCCTGAAAGGTTGCCGACCCCTGTAACTAAATGATCACATACTACAGTAATTCTAAGATAATGTAATATCTTTCTACAACTTGTGGAACCTGTGGCTCTTTGCCTGCACACCAAGCAACTCGTGCAACAGCTCTCCTTGACTGTCACAACTTACCGAGTCAATAGGGACAGAGCCAAAATCTCCAGTGGAGCTCTTGCTTCAGTCCATTCAAACTTGGACAACAGTTTCCAGTACAAAGCCAAATTAGCCAGACGTTTGTGTATAGTGCAGCATCCTTAGCTCAGGGAGCGGCAACCTTTGGCACGGGGCTCGCCAGGGTAAGCACCCTGGCGGGCCGGGCCGGTTTATTTACCTGCTGCATCCACGGGTTCGGCCGATCGCGGCTCCCACTGGCCGCGGTTCGCACATCCCTCGGCCTGGGCCACTTCCCATAGCCCCCATTGGCCTGGAGCAGCGAACCGCGGCCAGTGGGAGCCGCGATTGGCCGAACCTGGTGAGCCACGTGCCAAAGGTTGCTGATCCCTGCCTTAGCTGCACACTTGGCATGAAATTTACTCCTGTGCAGAGGACCAGAACCACTTAAGTTCCACTTAAGCCCTATTTTCAAGGCTAAAATTAAAACTTAAGTGGCATATATGTTAACCTTCTGGACAGAAGTGACTATCACCCTATAAGAAATTCATGAAAACCTTGCACTGTGCATACTCAGTATGCAATTTTCAGAGGTACAAAACTCAGTTAAATCTAAACCAGTTTCCTCCAGAATGCACAAAGATACTTCTACACAAATTGGGCTATTTCTGTATAAATGTTCAACTTCCAGTTCCCAGCCATTTTGGCTGTAGAGGTGTTCAAATAATGGAAAACATCTATTTATTTCACTCTCTAATGCCTCTAGAAGAGCTGATGTGATTTTGCTTAAATTTGCCAAATAGTTCATTGCCAGGCAGAAAAGCCTCAAATTAGTCTTTCCCATTCCTGTTAGAATACAGTACACATGCTAATATCACAGAGCAGGTAAGAAAAAGAGTTATTTTTACTCTGTTCTGCGTTAATATTTTGCAGATTATTAATTCATGCAGTGCTAGTTCATCTGTGAATACACCCCAAAAACAAACAAAAAAAACCCCAACCCCAAAACAACAACAAAAAACCTACTGTATAATTTACATAGCTTCACATCACAGGATTAACAGTTGCTTGTGTGAAACTTCTAAACAGGTTTCCAATCAAATCCATCTTCTAAACAAAACACTTGTAATGTTCTCGGACTGAGTTGATGATGCTAACTACAAAAAAGTAAACAGCAGCAAAACTAAATTCCATCATATTCCTATTCTTTTTTTCCCCGATTGCCAGCTGCAGTGCTCTCAGAACTACCACAGCTGAGCCCCATTTGAATCAGAGGCAGAAAATGGATTGATCAGCTTGTATCTGAGTTAGCATTGTATATGCACCAGAGATTAAAAGAAATGAGACTAGTATACATACGGTCCCATCCTATGCACAGTTTTGTCGTTTACCTAAAAGGGAGAAGCCAATACTGGGCTCAGGCCTAACTTTCAGACGTGCTGAGCAGCCATAACTTTCATTGCCTAAACTGGACACTCAATTCCCATATTTGGGCGGTCAGATCAGCACACAGACAGTTCCAGGGTACCCATCTGAGAGTCCAGAGAGGGAATTGGGCCCTCATCTCAAAAGTGAGCAATTGTCTTTCCAATCTGCTCTAAGGCTAAGTTTGCACACTATGTAGAATGAAACTTCATCCCTTTCCTGGAGTTTGGCTCCATTAATATACTGTAGCTCAAGCCTTCTCCTCAGGCTTGGCTACTCCTAGGGTTCCTAACTCAAGACTGTTCTCCAGTGCTTAATTTGTACCAGGGCTTGTCAGTGCTGAGCCCTGGCACCTCTAGGCTTGGCAATTCATAGCTCCAGCATTTCTAAGCTTGCTGCATCAGTTACAAATGTAAAAAAAAAAAAAAAAAAAAAAATTTGCTTGATCTCTGGCACTTCTTTCATTGCAAATTAAGCACTGCTGTTCTCCCATACCCCAGGTCTTCTCTCTCTCTCTCCAGACAACCACTCCCACCACTCATATCTGGCCAGGGTAACAAACCTCTGACTTCACTGAGTCTGCAGAACCCATTTAACCTTTCTCAGACCATTCAAAACCTGCTAGCTCAGTGTGGTGTTTCAGGGAAACACAGTTATGCCAAGTTTGAAAAATGTGTCCACAGCATTTCCAAAACTAAGTATTACTGTTTGTGCGTGTGTATATACAGTATGTAAATAGAGTTACAGGGCACTATATAAGGAGAGCTCAGCAAAACTTTCATGGTGCATCGAATATAGAAAATCTGTGCGCTAGGATAATTTAGGGTGTGCTTCAGGCTACGGTACTGATTATGGGACAAAAGTTGTAACTATCCTGCAGATTTAGATGCTGTTTCTACCATGACAATACAAATGAGGAGGCAACATTTTGTACTATCCTGAATTGCTGCCATCAAAGAGAGAAATCTTATTTTCTAGGTGCATAATCTGATTTTTGCCTCAAGAAGCTGCAGGGTCCAGAAATAGATTGGGCTAGTGGTATATCATCATGAGAATTACACACAGTCAGAAGATTTTTGTACTAGCAGGCAATACATTCAGGATTCATTTCATGGTATACCTTAAATTCATTTTCAGAACATCTTTAGAATCATCTGTAGACGCTACTAGGTAAAGATTTACTCTACAGAAAACCTAAAAGAATATCATAACCTGCTTTGACATTGCATGTAAGCTAATAACCAGAACACCTCACTTATGCTGCCAGCAACATCCCTTGCTCAGGAAGCTCCTCTGCATTCTACTGAGTCAATACTGTTATAATGGATCAGAGTTTCCATTAAAAAAAACAAACAGAAAAATATCCTGCAATATGTAGGAGGTCAGACTAGATGATCATGAGGGTCCGTTCTGGCCTTAAAGTCTATGAGTCTGGGAGAAAAATATCCTGAAGTTCAGGGTTCATTGGTCATTCAGAACAATTCCATTATCACAATACAGTAAGTGGGAATTGCAACTACAATTTTCACACTGATTTCATTTAATACTCCTCAAAAATCTCTCTTAATCTATGCAATGCAGTCACATTTAGGTGAATATGTTATCACAAAAAATTATTGGTAAAACAGGTGACATTGAAACCAGGCTTTTGGCTACTAAAATTATTTGCTATCATATGGAAAACATATAGAAGCCAGATTCTCAGATCTATGCATAATGGGCATGCCCCCCAAAAATGTGCATACATGCAAAACACCACGTACGTATAAGCAACTCAGTATTTTCACTGTAGAGAAGGTAAGTATGTAAGCATCTAACTATTTATAAGTCTAAAAACATAGGCTTTTCAGAGTGTAGTTACTACACCCATGTTTGAAAACTTGGCCCAGATAATGAGAACAAATTTTAGATGCTTCTCTCTCTTGGCAAAAGAAAAAAGATGAGAATGGTTGAACAAGGAGCAGCATTAACCTTAGTCACACACTGCAACAATATTTAAATAAAAACTTAAAACAGATATTTTATGAACAAATATTTTCCTGGGGTTGGTGTGGGATAACTCCTGCCAGGCTGGTAATCTAGTAATTTCCCCTGATGGCTTTCATTTATTTTAATAAAACATTAAGTCTCTAGTCTTTATGGTTTCAATGATAACCTTTAATGTGGGAGAGATACAACTACTTTTCCCTCCCCACCAATTTAGCCACTGACTCTTAGGAAATAAAGGACAGAAATAAAGTCTCTCACCTCTTGCTTGTAGTCCAGGCCCACATGTCTCATGGGCACCTGGGCTGTCCTGGCGAACATACCATGGTACCAGCTGGCATCTGCGCCATTTGTGGGTCTTCCACCTGCAACAAGGAAAAGGATAAATTAGAAACAATACATCTAAATGATATCTGTCAAAACGTAAGTGAGGAAAATATGCTAGATTACTCCAGAAACAATAACAAATGATTATTTATTATTAGCCTACCACAGATTATCCACAACAAAAGTTAACAATGACATGAAGCATGTTGAGTTCTCTTTTTTATTATCATTTTTTTGCTGTGCTCCGCTTATAGCTCCTATTAACTTCAGCAGGAGTTGTAGGTGCTAAAGAGCACCAAATTGACAGTTTTGATTCTCATCTTCCTCAGCTGCTCCATACTAAGTGGCAGGGCAAGATCAGAAATTAGGATAATCAAAGCCGAACCCAGAAACCGTCTCCATCAGCACTGGTTCAGTTTTCTTGAAACAGACATATTAGGATGGAAGACCAATCAACTCCAGACCATGTTTACTAAGGAATGTCACTACATTGCCAGCAATACAGTGTTGCCAAAAGCTTTGGTAGTCAGATAGGGTTGCCAATGATGCACATAAACTGAATATCCTGGCAGACCACCTTAAGGACCTAGGTAGAGATGGATCTGGGTGGTGCTCAATCTCTTTTGGATTTGCAGTAAGATGATGGAACATGTCTTCCTTCATGTATTTTAAAATACCAAGCACTCTACTGGTTTTCCACAAATAAATAATGAATATAACAGCTGTAATAATTCTCTTGCCAGGATTTGTGTATCTGTGTCTTGTATACTACTTTGACATTTCACCTCAAATTTTGCAGTACTAATATGTTTAAACACTTTTTCTTTATAATCTGATTTTGATTACTATGACTCCGAGCATATTTTATATTTTTCATAATAAACAAGTGACTGGATTTGTGTACAATTATCCATTTAATGAAAGGGCCCCTTCACTGTGTTTATGTGTTCAGGGCATTTTAACATTAGTCAACAAAAACCTACTGCATATTGAAAATTGAAAATGTGGCTGTGATGGAGTGAGTTATGTCTGAGTCAAATTATGAACCCTGTCTTGTTTTGCCTGTGGAAATGTTGGACACAGTGATTGCACAAGCCTAGCCATGCCAAAGGCAACCTGTTGCACTGCATTACAGACAACTGCCCTGGGACAAGTGCTTGACACCTCACTGAAGGATTCTCATTGAGAAGCCATCAAGACAGCAATATGGAACCACCAACTTTGAATGAATTTCAACAACTGACCCATTCCCATGGAACAATAGTTTTCTATATAAGTGGATGAGGCATGACTTGCGGGGAGAAGGCTGGAGTGTCCCAAGTTGAGAGCATGACGAAGAGGAGAGACACTACTTAAAAGAGGGGTTCTGATCTGTGTGTGCAGGTGGGGGAGACCTTTGTGCACTAGGGTGAGAGCAGGAGGGACTCTGGCTAGCCTGAAACATCAGCAAAGGGGTGAGATCCGACCAGTGGAGGGAGCATCAGAGGATTTTTGTTTTGTTTTCAAAGATCTATAATACTTGAGTGTTTTAAGAATAAAGGTTCAGGGGTTAAGAAATTCCTTTGCTAAGTCCACATTCCTTGTTTTCCCACCATATTATTCCAGAAGGGGTTAAACTAAAAGTTCAGAGTGCCCTCAGACTAGGTGGAGCGCTGAGGGGATGTAAGTGACTTGGGATGCGGCTCAGAAGGTCTCAGACACTGATTTCCAGGTCTAGGATGGCTGGGCAGCAACGCCCCACATCCCAAAGAAGGATGCCCACACAAGAGATTTTAGCCAGGGAGTGTATAGTCCCACATCTGGAAACAGTGATTAGACTCCAGCCAGATCCAGTTGGCTTGGAAGCACATGGGACCCAGAGATTGGGATCACGTCCAACAGATTAGTGACTATATAGTGGGACATGGGACCAGGTTGTTAACAGTGGGGAAAACATAATTTAATCAAAATAAACAACAGGGATGAGGAATTTCTAGAAGACTGAAATAGATAAAATAAATCAATACTGTACGGATTGGATTATTCAGTTGCATATTTAATTCAGTTATAAACATTTATTTTAAAAAATTTCTGAAGCTGCTACAAAATGTCCATCATAATACTGTAGAAGTTAGGTGTAGATTGCCCCAGAGTACACAGGGCCTTGAATATAGCAAAACCTATGCAGGATGTCCTGCTGTAAACTCAACTGAATTGAGTCAAGTGAAAAAAACATTAAATGCATACATGATTCATATCACCCACGTGCCGTAGCCATCAGCTGTGGTACTACCGTGATCCATCAAGGTGTGGGTTCATGTGAGATCCTCTCTTCCTTTAGCCCCAGCTTTCAGTGTAACCTGCCTTCCTTGTGCTGCTCCCTGACCTGAGGAAGGAGTAGGGAGCTGGCTGTGTGTGTGTGTGTCATACTATGTGCCCGGGCCAGAGAAGAAGGGTGCTAGAGGGAGTAGAGGGAAGGGTGTTTAACACTAGTCCCTTCCAAGAAAGTTAAGCTGCCCTGCCTAGCACTGCTAGAAACCCAGTGTTCTCCTGCACACAGCATCCTGCACACACCAGTGGCTCAGATGAAACTCCAGGAAATCACCTGGTTTTGAAGGTGTTAAATAGCTGAGCAGCAGCCAATGTTTAAGGGATAAAATTATTAAGCTGACACTGCAAAGGAAAGTTTTAAAATTATATTTGGAGTGCTGCGTTTTGGTAGCTTCAAGCACTGTAATCATATCCTCATATACCATTCAATTAGATATGTTGTAATCTCCTAATGGATCGGAAGTGATAATTCTCTGACACAGGATCAAGATAATACATTAATAACCTATATTTGTTTTCCATTCTGTCGTTGCCAAAGGAAAGGACATTTATCAGGATCATTACGACAGAGTGGTAGCATTTAGGAGAAACAACAGGTGTTCTTTGCTACCAGGGAAGAAACAGGATATTACTTTCTGAATCAACCATGTCTTTCAATTAAAAATTATATTTATATAGTACTGTCAATTCAATACAACTAGTTTCCCATTACTGGAAAGGTCTAAACATCGGGGCCACACCTGGACTGCTTTGTGCTGCTCTGGTATTACGAAGCAGCTCCAAATCTGGCTTCACCTTCTACTTGAGAATGCACTCACCTAGGGGAATCCTTAGATGGCACAGAGCCACTATAGTGGCTTCCATGCAGTCATACTTATAGCCCAAATGCGTGGGACGCATAGTCAGGTTACCCTTATATCCTGGCAATCCTTACCTGCTGGAATGGTCTTTTGGGTCCTCTGGTGAAGATTACAGCAGCCAGGGATCACCAACCTTTGGCATGCGGCTCGCCAGGGTAAGCACCCTGGCGGGGCGGGCCGGGCCGGTTTGTTTACCTGCCACATCCGCAGGTTTGGCCGATCGTGGCTCCCACTCACTGTGGTTCGCTGCTCCCACTCGCCGGTTCGCCGCTCCAGGCCAATGGGGGCTGCGGGAAGCGGCACGGGCCTAGGGATGCGCTGGCCACTGCTTTCCGCTGCCCCCATTGGCCTGGAACGGTGAACTGCGACCAGTGGGAACTGCGATCAGCCGAACCTGCGGACGCGGCAGGTAAACAAACCGTCCCAGCCCGCCAGGGTGCCTACCCTGGCGAGCCACGTGCCAAAGGTTGCCGATCCCTGCTCTAATCTATGAGAAGATGGATTGTTGGATAATTGATGGATAGTTTGGGGGTTGGATTGGAGTGGATGCAAGGATAGCTTAAAGCCACTTGTGTGCATACCTTCCTGAGCTGTGGCAAAATGTCCTTTCTTCTCAGAGGCTGTCATCCTCCAATACAGGAGATGACTGGATTTCAGTAATACTACATGTATTTAATGTACGAAACACTTTTAGAACATTTAGAAAGAAAGCTTTTACATTTGACTGCTCTCATACTGTGCTCCCAAAGAATTGCTAAGAGATAATTATTCAAATATCTGAAAGTTAACCACCAAAGAGTTGATGTTGTGATATGTATGACATTTATATCTGCAGAGGTTAAATATGTGTAATTAGAAGCAAAACACTGGAACTCTGGCTGCAATCCAGACGTAAATCCAACAGAATGTTAACACAATTGGCCAAATACGGGCCTCATGTAAATGGGTTTTACTCCATCTGAATCAATGGAATTGCACCTGCTTTTACCAGGCCTGATTTGGCTCTGTACCCTATTTTCCCTTGCACTTTACAGGAGGTGAGAGCTGAAGAGACATGAATAATTTATCATAATTTATTTAGGTTACCTGTAAGTATAGCACACAGGAGGAGCCTCACATTCCTTTTCCTCATATAACGTGTCTGGGCAGTCACGGCCACCATTTGCAGGGAGCTGGAGGATGACTCGATGGCGAGACTGTTGCTTTACTGTGACATCCCCTACCAAGAGCACAACAGTGTGTTTATTTCCCCCTCACACACAGAAGATTTCTAGAATTAGGATTATACTGGGACTGTAGTAATTAGAACTAGAAAAGATTTAACATATTACATAATTGATTCCGTTGCTGTACAAGACTAAGTTATTTTGCCCATAACAGAAAATTAATGATATTAACCTAATATTACACTTGATCTCAGCCAAAGGGCGAAAAAGAAGCATTGTACAGAAAGCATTTCTGTCAATAACAATATCAATACATACACTGTACGATTGAGTGATATGCTAGATGGGTCTGATATGCTACTATGCTGTATGGCTTCATAGATTATTTTATCCTTAAAATTAAGACATATAAGCAGAAATGTACATAATGCAGTGAATAATAAAGCTCCATTCCCTAAAGAGCCCAATAACACAATCTAATTCTTTTACCCTTATCTCCACACCCAGGAGGTGTGTGGCAGATTTAATTTATGCATTAGTCTTTATCCAAGATTTATTTTAACTACTTCTGTGTTTCCCATATGGGACTCATATTACCCTACAATCGACTACCTTCCTCAAGAGCATGCACCATGCTTAAATGTGAAGTTTTATTTCCCTGCTATGACTTAATTTACTGGTCACACATTTTTCATTATTAGAGACATTTAGTATTGATGATAAATAGTAAATTATTTTGTGTAAAAATTAGATTGTGGTCATATTCGAAAAGTCCGAGCTCTGGGCAGAAAAAAATATGAGTGGAACCATAACTCTGTAGTCATTCCACAGCCCACGGCACTGATTTGCTTTTAAAGCTACCACAATCTAGACATTTTAAGTTAAAAATATACATTTTGTAAAAAATAGTCTTAAAAACCTAGTATGGATAAATCATGGCAATCTGGTCCTAAACTGCAAATAAGAGCTTCACTTTGGGCATTAGTGTTGCTCCAAGCCATGCTGAGTGGGCTGGTAATAGCTTCCAAAAGGTCACTGCAGCATCTGGGCAGACAGGGCTCCTAGGTAACACTCCAACATCAGTGGCTGAGACGTGAACAACACAAGAACTGCTACACCAAACTACGCCACCGGGGTATTCGTCAAAACAGGAGGAATTCTCAGGTAGTCAGTAAAGTAGCCAGAGCAAGAGCCAGGATCTGTCCCAAGGCACAAAGCAGAAGAGACTCCCAGAGATGCTGCTGACAGCAGCAGCAGGAACAGGTGATTATTGTAAACTGAACATTGTTGCAAAGATATTGAGATAACATTTGGCTACTGAGTAGAAATGATATTCACTCCATTAATCGATTTACTATCTCATTTGCTCCTCCCTATTATCTTGTTTATAGTCAGTGTGTTTCAATTTGCAGTACATGTTCTTGAGGATACGCTCAAGTTATTAAGAACCTTTTTTAAAATAAAACAAAACAAGACAGTTTTGCACCCTTCTCAGAGAACAGCAGACCCTGCAGAAGCATCTCAATGAGAAAATTATAATATTGCTCTGAAATTATAGAATAATAGAAGTGATTCTAGGGTTTCATAGTAATATTATGGTTATTATGAAATAATTCATTGCAAGTTTTAAGTACCACACCCAACACTGTGTACTATCAAATTCAGTGGTCCCAGCTATCATATTTTTAAGGTTATACATTTAATCTCCCTAATGCTTTATTAGTTGTTGTATGCTCCAATAACTAATTGGAATTACTGTAAAAGTGACTTTGTGTCCTTTGTAAAGCATGGAGAATTGACTTTGACATTTAAAGAGTGTTTATTTGATGCAACAATCTCATTTTTTTTATAATAAGTGACAATGAGTAATCACCATGTTCCACAAGGGAATTAACATACATGAACATGGAATTACATTATTGACTATGCCTATAATAATGCATATTAGAAGAATATCTCCTGTTAAGCTTAGAAGAGAAAAAGTGATAAGGCAGAAATATCGAGGTAACAGTAATTTTGTCAATGCTTCTGCTGTAATGATAATTTCAAAGCAATAAAAATTCAAATACATCTATGCTTTGTAACTTCGTTTAAAAGCCGTGACAGGTGCATTAAAAAGACTTTGCAGTGGGTGTTTAATTCAGAACCTTAATATTAATTTGAATGTTGCTTATTTTTGTGGTTTATTTTCTTATGATTCTGAAGGTAGTATAAAAGGGAATGGACAAAAATGATAGAGAACCATTTCTGCTAGACTTTAGGACTCACATGAGAGAGACTTTTAACCTGTGTTGGGCCTACTACAATCATACACATTTGTTAAAACAAGCACAGAACCAAATTTTGCTCTAGGATACTTGCTCAGGTTTTCCAGTGAAGTCAAACGGTGCAGTATGTAAGGGCAAATCTGACCTGCATTTAAAATGTTTTTCTAGTTGTACAACTGCACTGCAATCTTCAATGGTGTTAGAGTATTCATGTCTATGTGACTAATGAGCTATTTGTAAAATGTCAAATCCAACAAAGAGTTTGCAATACAAAAGTAGGCAGAGTGGGGAAAAAAGCTATTACAAAATATACATAATTAAGTAATAAAGAAAATTTAGAGTGTCTGCACACAGTCCACTGGAAACAGGCAGCTGTAAGGACAGTGTTATAATGGGTTATAGAAGGTTTTGTGCAATTACTGTATGTTGTTTTAATATTCAATAAAAATAATCATTCACCAGAGCAACTGCTATGTCACAGTGGCCTCTCTCTGAAATACAAGTGCACCATCTAAGAGAAAAAACGTTGCCAATAGCAATCTGTCAGAAGAAGCCTACACTGTAATTAACTAAGTGTGTGGTTTATTTTTAAATAATCTGCCCTCTAATACACAGTGAATTATATTACCTTCTTGACATGGGGAAGAACACAATGTCCAGTCACTGTATGGAGTCACAATACAGTCTTTCCTACAAGGAAGCAAACAAGGCCGCACTGTTTCTGGTCGAAGGCTTTCAGGACATCTAGGGAAAAAAAGGAACATTATAAAATGAATGATCATTCTATGACAGTGTTAACTCCTGAGGGATGCTGAGCACCTGCAGCTGATCAGCACTGCTCACGACTGAGCTATGATTGGATTTTTTTTTTAACCATTTAAATGCTATCCTCTATATTTTCAAATGTTGCACAAGGTGCTAGGTGTATGAATACATTTAATGGGAGTCATATTCTTATAACCCCTCCCCGCCTCCCGCACTGCTTTTCAGTTTAAGGATAAGGATTCCAGTTGCCCTTTACAGGAAAGCACACCCGGCAGTTGAGATGCAAGTAATCTTGATCTGCATGAGACAGAACAATCATTGAGTGACGGTGGAAAAGCTCGAGCAAGAAGTCTTTGTTATCTGTACTTCTGCAGAGCTTAAGAAAAATGATATAAAGAGATTTCTTAGGATGGTTATTTAAATCTAGCAGTTTAGATGTTGCTTATGTTTAGGCCTTGTCTACACTAGAAAGGGTCTTCAAGATAGTTATACCAGCAATCCCTCCGGGAGCCTGTTCTGACTTCCATTATTAGTATATGGTCTGCAGAAGGACATGCCACCACCTCCTGCCCACAGAAGACTCTTGACATGCCCTCTCCCTCCTCTTACACCAGAGGTGGTGGGGGTGACTGACGCACCTCTGCTAGCTTTCAACTGGCAGAGATTTCTTCTCTAAAAAGGGAACTCTCGCCAACTATTCTGACCCTTTCAAGTTCATTTTGTGTCACTTACATGGCACAAAGTAGCCTCAGCAGACTGGAGAATCAGTGCGTTTGTGTGTGTGTGCGCGCGCGTAATCAAATACAGTTGCCAGTTATAAAGAGTATTTGCCAACAGTTACCACACGATGACTACGTTTTCAGATTTCAGAGTAGTAGCTGTGTTAGTCTGTATCAGCAAAAAGAATGAGGAGTACTTGTGGCACCTTAGAGACTAACAAATGCAGAGATTAGTCACAATACTCCAACAAAAAAACTTCAAAAACAGACTCCAACGAGAAACTGCTGAATTGGAATTAATCTGCAAACTGGACACCATTAAATTAGGCTTGAATAAAGACTGGGAGTGGATGGGTCATTACACAAAGTAAAACTATTTCCCCCTGCTGATTTTCCCCCCTACTGTTACTCACACCTTCTTGTCAACTGTTGGACATGGGCCATCCTGATTATCACTACAAAAGTTTTTTTTCTCATGCTGATAATAGCCCACCTTAACTGATTAGTCTAGTTATAATTGGTATGGCAACACTTATTTTTTCATGTTCTCTGTGTATATATATCTTCCTACTGTATTTTCCACTGCATGCATCCGATGAAGTGGGTTTTAGCCTACAAAAGCTTATGCCCAAATAAATTTCTTATGTTTTCAGAGTTTTTCCTATTGTTAAAATAGGAGATATCTTTGGTAACTGTTTGATAATGTTTGGCAATTATTGACTTCCTAATGACTTTTTTTTTTTACATAAAGATGTGTATACAGACACCACAACATTGCCAAAATACCTACATTACACAATCAAGATTATATGCAATTTGACTAAATGAGGACTTCATCTTTCATGAAGACTGCAGGTTCCAGCCCTTACTCAGAGGCCTTCTAATGAGGCAATTGGTTCAATTAAAAAGCCACTTCTATGTTTATTAATGTTTCTATTTAGTATATGTGGCTTAAAGCAGGCTATTGATTTTCTTTTCCAACCCTTATTCAAGGTGAAATGAAACAGAAGTGATATGAGCTGACATTTGTTACTTGTAAGGTAGATAAGGCCAATAATATTGATTTTATCATATCACAGTAATCCGTTTTATTAAGGGAAGTTTAAAATGAGGTTTCTATTTACATTTTCATGTCGAATGTATGCTCTTTAAAAATGATTTGATGAATTTAACATGACAGTTTGAAAGATAACCAATGCCTTTTTGTTCTCATTTCACAGGATTTGTCTATGACAAGATACAATAGTCCTGTTTTCAAAATTTTAAGGTGAAATCAAAGGCAAGGACTCCAATGGCTGATTTAAAAATCAAAGGAAAACTCACTGTAGAATGATTTTTTTTAAATGTAAAATGGTTGCCCACTAACATTGCATGGAATGCTTATTAATAGTATTTTAATGTGGTTACATATGTACACATTTTAAAATATGTGATGTGCTAACTATCATGTATATGAGTTCTCCGCCACTCTTCCTTTTAAAGTGAATTTAAAATGACTGCCATGCTGATGAAAGCAAGACATTGGTGGCATTGGGCAAAGGTGCAGTGTGAGAGCAGCTGCTTTAGAAACTTTCTTAAAGAGCTCTAAGCCAAGCCACTTTGTTCTTGTCCTGCAAAACACTAGCAATTCCATTTCTGGACCTCTCCTGACCAGGATACATTGACCATACTAGAGAGTGACAAACTGTATGGTGATTGTGTGAGATACTATCAAACTCATTTCACTTGCAGTTAATTTGTATTCGAACCATGGTCTTACACCAAACTGGGCAATTAAACTATTGGGCCACATAGACCCGTTAAAATCTTGGTTATGTAAAAAACACCTAACACGTATACAAACTAAGATCTCTATCCTGGCCCTTCCTGGTTCCATGGTGAGGAGTCTAGTAGAGCTATGTAAACAAAGATCCACAGCTGCAGAATACTACTTGGAGCTTGAGGGGCAAACCACTACCAGCCCTTCAGGGGCAGTAACATAGCAACTAAATAGCGTTCAATCTTGAACCCCTCTCCAGTGGTGGAATGTGTGATCTACCTTCCCGCTCCCTCAAAAGTCTTGACTGCCATATATGGCAATCAGGTGTTGGGGAGTGACATGAGGTGAAACAATGCCTCCCCAAGACCCCACGGAAGGCACAGGGTAATTCCTGTCTGAGAGGCTGGATTGGACCAAGATGCTTGGAGTCAGTGTCTCTGATTGACAACTCTGAAATGGAGCTGTCAGCAGAGTCCATTGTAGGGAAGCTCCCCCATTGCGATCACCTACTCTTTGCTCTACAGTTCTGCTAGCATTTTAGATTGCGTGCTTTTAAAAGTTATTTACTCATCAGAGCAGACATGACCATCAGTTGAATTGTTTCCCTTTGCAAGTAAGTCCATACCGATTACTTGTATCTTAAAAAAGCAAAAAAATAAAAATAATTAACTTAATAAAGAATAGTTCAAAGCTCTTTACTTTTTTGGTCCCACTTGTCCCACGTTGACTCTCACACAGATGACTTTTCTTGTTTGCATCCCAACAGCACAGGTGGCCTCCCCATTCCAACTGGTAGATGAGTTGAAAGTAGACACAGAGACATCTTCTATACACTGGCCCCAGGGCCCAGTCTGCCAGTGGTACACAGTGCAAGGGTGTTCATTACAGCTGCGTGCTTCCTGAAGTGCACTACTGTTTGGGCACTGAATGCCTCCTGGAACAACAAAGCAGTGCATATGTTCATACAATGGAAAGAAATAAATTATTATAAATATATTTGAGATTCATATTAAATACATCCCAGAACATGTGTCCTTTTAAACCCTTCCTTGCCCCTTATTCAAATTATTAAATAGTAATGAACAAACATACAGCATAGATCATGAACAGAAAATGAAAGATACATGAGGGCAATGTTCAAATGATTATATCGTATATCATACAGTATCTTGATCTGCTGGCAATAATGAATAACCTGTTTTTAGTTTGAGATTTGCCACCATGGAGACTATGTTAAACAGCATTTTGGTGAGGAGAGGAAGGTTCTAAGTGGAAAACGAGGTTAAATTCACTAGTTATACACCTCTGGAGACCACTGTTTATATCCAGTTCAGGGAACTAGTGAAAATGAGTTTGGAGATCTTGTCCTAGATTCCAACTGAATTTATCCACATTATCCACATTACATAATCACCGAAGAATTCGGCACAGTTGGCGATTTCAGCTCCAGCTTGCGATGGCAGAGATGTTGCAGTTCAAGATTAAAATGCAGTGATATGCCAGTAATTGTGTGGAAAAGCTGAGATAATGCTATTATCATTATGTTCAGCTCTATTTAGTGCTATCAAACCCACCTAACCTCCTCATTCTAAATAAATAAAGGAGTGTCCTTTCCCATTAAGATTAGATCACAGCAGAGAAAGCCATGATTTAAGCATACATTTAATCATTCATGGTTTAAGCACAGAATATTGAGCCCTTCTCTGCATCTGCTTTAACTGCACATCTCCACAGGCTGAAAAAGACAACACCCTGCCCTTGTAGGAGCCCACCCTGTGTGGAGGAAGAAGTGAAGTGGTGTGGTTGTACATTAGTTACACAAGGAACACCTTGCTTTTCCTCTGATATCACTGCAATTATCACCTTATTAGGATTCAAACTTTATATGTCTTGGGGAGAGGCTGTTCTAAATTTGATTTAGACAAATAGGGAGGAACTGGTTGAGAATTTTAAAGTGGAAAGCAGCCTGGGTAAAAGTGATCATGAAATGATAGCATTCATAATTCTAAGGAATGCTAGGAGAAAAAACAGCAGAATAAAAAGAATGGATTACAAGAAGGCAGACTTTAGCAAACTCAGGGATTTGGTAGGTAAAATCCCATGGGAAGCAAGTCTAAGGGAAAAACAATCTGAAAGAGTTGGCAGTTTTTCAGAGACATTATTAACAGCACAAGAGCAAACTATCCCATTGTATAGGAAAGACAGGAAGTAGGGCAAGAGACCACCCTTGTTCAATCAGGAGAAATCTCTTCAATGATCTGAAACTCAAAAAAAAAAAAAAATCCCACAAAGAATGAAAACTATGTCAAATTAGGAAGAATTAATATAAAAAAAATAACACAAACATATAGGGCCAAAATTAGAAAGGCCAAGGCACAAAATGAGATTAAACTAGCTAGAGGGTAACAAGAAAACATTCTACAAATACAGTAGAAGAAAGAGGAAAATCAACAACAGAGTAGGCCTATTACTCAATGAGGGGAGAAGACAATAACAGAAAATGTAGAAATGGCAAGAGTGCAAAATTATGTTTTTCTTTCAGTTTTCACCAGAAAGATTAATAGAGATAGGACATCTAACATAGGGAACACAAGTGAAAATGAGGTAGGATCTGAGGCTAAAACAAGGAAAGACTAGATGTCTTTAAGTTGAAAAGCCTGATGAAATACATCCTAGAATACTCAAGGAGCTGACTTAGGAGATATCTGAGACATTAGTGATTATCTTCAAAAACTCATGGAAGACAGGAGAGATTCCAGAAGACTGGAAGAGGGCAAATATAGTGCCAATCTAAGGGAAATAAGGACAACCCGAGGAATTACAGACCAGTCAGCTGAACTTCTGTACCCGGAAAGATAATGGAGAAAATAATCAAGCAATCAATTTGCAAACACCTAGACAATAATAAGGTGATAGGCAACAGTCAACATGGATTAATCAAGAACAAATCATGTCATACAAACCTATTAGCTTTCTTTCACAGGGTAACAAGCCTTGTGGATAGTGGGGAAGTGGTAGATGTGGTATAGCTTGACTTTAGTAAGGCTTTTGATACTGTCTTGCGTGATCTTCTCAGAAACAAGCTAGGGAAATATTGCCTTGAGGGAGTTACTATAAGATGGGTGTCTAACTGGTGGGAAAACCATTTCCAGAGACTAGTTATGAGTGATTCAGTCAAGCTGGAAGGGCATATCAAGTGGGGTCCCACAGAGATTGGTTCTGTTCAATGTGTTTATAAATGACTTAGATAATGACATAGAGAGTACACTTATAAAGTTTTTGGATAATCTCAAGATGGGAGGGATTGCAAGTGCTTTGGAGGACAGGATTAAAATTCAAAATGATCTGGACAAACCAGAGAAATGGTCTGAAGTAAATAAGATGAAATTCAATCAATTTGGAAGGAACAATCAATGCACACATACAAAATGGGAAATTACTGCCAAGGAAGGAGTACTGTAGAAAGGGATCTGGGAGTTATGGTGGATCACAAGCTAAACATGAGTCAACAGTGTAACACTGTTGCAAAAAAACCCCAAACATCATTCTGGGATGTATCTGCAGGAGTATTGTAAGCAAGACACAAGAAGAAATTCTTCCATTCTACTCCATGCTGATAAAGCCTCAGATGGAATATTGTGTCCAGTTCTGGGCGCTGTATTTCAGGAAAGATGTGGACAAATTGAAGTCCAGAGAAGAGCACCAAAAATGATTAAAGGTCTAGAAAACATGGCCTGTGAGGAAAGATTGAAAAAATTCAGTTTGTTTAGTCTGGAGAAGAGAAGAGTGAGGGGGGACATGATAACAGTTTTCAAAGGCATAAACAGTTGATAGAAGCAAGAGGGTGAAAAATTGTTCTCAACCTCTGAGGACAGGACAGGAAGCAATGGGCTTAAATTGTGGCATGAGAGATTTAGGTTGGACGTCAGGAAAAACTTCCTGTCAGGGTTGTTAAGCACTGGAACAAATTGCCTAGGGAGGTTGTGGAATCTCTGTCACTGGAGGTTTTTAAGAACAGGTTAGACAAACTTCTGTCAGGGATGGTCTAGTTATTATTTAGTCCTGCCTTGAGTGCAAGGGATCGGACTAGATGACTATTGAGGTCCCTTCCAGCCCTGATATGCATAAACAGAAGATTCATATTTACTTTAGATGAGATAAAAAATTGAAAGATATAAGCCATCCTACATCATTAAAACAAAATTAAATAATAAAACAGTAACAACAATAGTATTTTAGGGCATAAGCCAATTATCTGTCTGGGGTTGGAAAGAAACGTCTTGTACGATCTGGTTATTCTATAACTATCCACTAAGGGGATTCTTGCTCCTTCCTGAAGTATGTGGTATTGGCCACTGTCAGACACAGAATACTGGACCAGAAGGATCTCTGATCTCATCCAACATATGCTTTAGCTAAATACAAACACAAGTTATTGGGCTCAATTCAGGAGTAAATGGCTGAAATTTAATGGCTTGCAATATAAAGAAGTTCTAACTAGATGGCCTAATCTTGTCCCTTCTGGCCTTAAACTCTGAATCTATTAACATGCAATTCCCACATTAAAAGCTTGCTTCCCAATGCCATGCTCCGACCACTAGATAAGGGTCTGGCCAATAGCGTAGCATCTTAGGCTACGTCTTCACTACGGGGGGGGGGTCGATTTAAGATACGCAAATTCAGCTACGCGAATAGCGATGAATTCGACGTATCGCAGCCGACTTACCCCGCTGTAGGGACGGTGGCAAAATCGACCTCTGCGGCTTCCCGTCGACGGTGCTTACTCCCACCTTCACTGGTGGAGTAAGAGCGTCGATTCGGGGATCGATTGTCGCGTCCCAACGGGACGCGATAAATCGATCCCCGAGAGGTCGATTTCTACCCGCCGATTCAGGCGGGTAGTGTAGACCTAGCCTTATTCTCCCCTCCCTAGATCATATTTCTTATTTCAGTTTTTTCCCCCTATGTTGTCATTTGTGTTTTTTTTTAATCTTGGTATTTTTTCACAACCCAGCAGTACCATGTTTGTACCATGACAAATACAAAGGAAAACACCTGCAGCATCTGTATTATGCTTCGAGGAACTGCCACAGTAGTTGTGAAGTATTCAGATACATGTTATATTTGTTTCTTCACCCCACAATGAGAACACAGCAGCAGGTTTAAGTTTGAGGTCAAGACCTATGCAAAAACAAGCCTCAGTGCATGCTTCCTAATTACAGTTAATTTATGGGAAGGATTATGGCAAGGGAAAAAAACCTAAAAATTGCACCCTACATGGCACACAGAGCGAGGTGTATGTTGTATATACTAAAATTGGGTATGTGTAACAGCTGTGATATGTGTAAGGTCACAGAATCATGTCCTTTACTGTCATTTTAGATTTTCAGATAATGATTTTCCTGAGTTTCTTGTTGCACAGCGAAGATGAGCTTGGAAAAACAACTGAGGTACTGCCAGGCTCACAGAAAGGAAACTTTGTAAATTCCCTTCATGCCAAATGAGGAGAATGATTCCAGAAAAGACACAAACAGGTGACTGTGGAACATCTCATACTACACACAAAAATCTGTCTCTCTCTGAGTAGATGTAAACAAATCCAGACACAACTTCCATAGCCACCTTGAGTCCTCTGGCAGTATAACTGGTGTGGTTCAGCTACTTAAGGTGGATGTAGGCCTAGATAAGGTGGTGCACACAACAGTATGTGCACCCTGGCCAGATTCTCAGTTCTAGCAGAAGTCTGCTCAGTGCAGGAATGGACATGATGAGAAGGAAGAGTTTTATTCTGTCTTTGTGTTTCCTCACACTCAGCATAGCCCGCAGAATAATGTACTGTTCCTGCAGACAAAAATAGATAAGAATAGCTGGAGAGCAGCAATACACTGGCTAATCCCCTACCTGAGACACACTCCCTACATCTGGAGCTATGAAAGGGGATAGAAAAAAAAAGGCTCTTACATGCATATTTTAAGCCAATTCAGTGACCCCTATTACACCAGGGGTACTTCCTGGAGGCTAATTCCACTGGTTTTATGACCTTTTTATACCACATGAGCAGCATACGAAGAGGATGCAATACAATGAAGAATTGAACCCCATAAATAGAAGAGTCTAGTTCCATGAGAGTTGCATGTACAGTAGAGCACAGGCCAATGTTGCAAATCCAGTTAAATTTAGGTTTCCTGGATGTCAAAATAATATACCACTATTCATAATCAGAGTGACAGGATATGATTTTCACTTTCTTTCAAAAAGAGAGAGCGAGCAAGAGAGAGATCACAGATGATGAAGTAATAAGAAGCAAATTCAGGCCTGGATCCAAAAAGGTAGTTGCACAGGCTTAAGTACTTCCATTAATTTCAACAGGATTACTCGCATGCTTGAACTTCAACTATGCTTAAGTACCTTGCTGAATCAGGGTAAAGCACTGATGCTATTTTGAAGGACTGCAATATTATTTGAATTTATTATAATTGGATTGCATGGTTATTGTCAGATTCTCAGGATCCTAGAATTGAACTACCAGGACCAGCTGCAGTGTGCTTTTAGTTAAGGGCCCACATCTATAAAATTTGCTCCTTCTGACAGCTCAACAGAACCCAAGTTTGGCCATTTTCAGAGATCAATGTAAAACTCACTTGTTCGTTCAGGCCTGTCATCATTTAATCTACCATCATCATAGTAAGGGGTTTGTGAATGATTTTACTGAGTCACCTGTAGGTTTTGAATTTAAGACGCCCATATCCTATGGCTATGGGCACCATATAACATAGGGATGGCCATAAAGATTAGACCAGTGGTCTATCTAGTCTCGTATCCTACCTCTAATACAGCCAGTACCAGATGCTTTAGAGAAAGATGCAAGAAGCTTTACCCACATGAATACAACCAGTAAGTGTTTTTAGGAACAGGTATTAGTGTGGGACAGTATGAAAATTACATGTACAGCATTGGGAAAATATCATAGGGCATCAATTTATATAAAGTGCAATTTTTCAGTTTAAGATATCTAAGAAAATTCACGATTTTTAATTGTTTTTGTAAGTTTTGAATATAGTACAGATAATACACTTAAAAAGTAAAATATTAATGTTCAGGTCCTATTGTTTTTATCAACACCATTAAAGATATCAAAGAGCAATCATAAATTTGTGTCTCTAAATCATCTGATGCTTTTCCAGTGTGAAGAGCATTGTCTATAGAAATAATGATGCAATCAATTCTGGAAGCACAGTTAAACCTTTGTGTGTATTTCTCAAGGTGAAAAGTCACTAATTATTTGTCAAACAAGAAGTGACTAAAGGGTATAATGGATTTACTGTCAGGAAAATGACAACCAATCTAATTTTAGTGAAGCCTAAAAGTTATAATCTGAAATGATATAGTTTAATCCAACAAAAGGTGAAAACTATACTTCAGCTATGGTGGTAATGGTATTTCAGTTCTACAAGGTTATCTTTTATTCATAAATCATATTTACTCTCGGTGGCTTTCATTCCACAAACACATAGTTAACTTTAAGCATGAGTAATCCCACCCCTATTCAGCAAAGCATATGCTTAGGTGCTTTGGGACCTGATCCAGACACCGTTGTCTCCGAATCAGAATAGATTTACTCCCAGGCTTAATGTTTTGCTGAATCAGGCCCTCAAGTATGATCGTTGGAGGGGCTGAGCACCAGCAACTCCCACTGGGATCGGATATCCACTTTTTAGACAGAAATTTAAATTAGTGGTGTAATTTTGGTGGATCATTTGCTTACTGTTTTTTGTTTTACTATTGCACACCCTGACTCCCAATGGTAGTCAGCGTCTCCTAAAATCAGGTTTATATTTCTGTGGCATACAGTCAAGATTTGCAGCAGTAAAGGGCGGTAATATTTCTGTTTCCTGTAATGCTGAATAAGCAATTAAAACCAAATGTCTTGAGCTACACATGAAAGCCAACAGCCCATGAACATTTCATTTTGGGGGGGGGGTTATTAGATAATTGTCTTTTCAAAATCTGGTTATTGTGATTTTTGAGATGTTGGAATAGGGCAAGGGAAAGGGATAACTTTCATTTTTTCTCATTTTTAAACAGCATTTCTCTTTTGTCATGTAGATCAATCTATCTATCTATGGCAGCTACTTATTATATGACTATTAAAAATCACCCCTTGTACTTCCAACAGAGCTGCTCTGAAGGGTAAATGTCAAAAGTGTCAGCTCCGCTACATCTTCCCCATTTTCCTTGAATCCCCTGGAGGTTACCCTGCCAGAACTCTGCAGGACTTTTGTGCGGGAGTCAAGGGTGCAACACTGTTTGCGCCTCTTCCTTCAAGTGAAGATCGCCAGGATGCTGCAGTGCAGTAATGTGTAAGGGCCTTGGGACAGATTTTTAAAGGTATCTAAGCCCCCAAAGATGCAGATAAAATCCCATTAGGTACCTATCTACATGTTTAGATGTCTCAATACCTTTACAAATCTGGCCCTCTGATGTTGTACTGTTTGGGTAAGTATAGCAAACTGTCTTTGATTTTATATTCTTTAAAATTCAAAAGTGGATAACGAATGAATGATGGCAGTGATAATTACTCAATTTCCCTGTATAGATAATGCCTCTATTGATTTGATTGATGAAGCACTTGTTTTTCTGTAAAATATAGATATTTGGCAGCGCCTATTTTCCAATAGTAAAATATTAACAAATACTGTAGGATTGCCACTTATTTGTTAACACGAAATACCTACAAGTTTTCTCTTTCGTGAATCTGGTGTAATGTTGAGTTGCAACTTGAGTTGCAATAGTACAATTCCTGATTGCTCTGGTGGTTTTTTTTAAATGAGAAAATTGAACATGACATTACTTCACAGAACAATATCATTTGGAGCACTGGGTTTGGCAATACTGTTGCTTAAGCAAAAGCTCAAGCGCGCTGCTCAATAAAGCTTGCACAACTCCTGGTGGTTTAGTTCATAGTATCAGCACATACATCTAAAAGTAGTAGGATATTAGATATGATCATTTTCCAGAGTTCACTTTTTTTAGGTGTGCTTGTGTATGTATGGTGTATTGGGAATTCAGTCTCAGACATTGTATGTTTGGGCGGACATTGAATAAAATTCTGTCTGGATATTGTTTGATCAGTAAATATGCCCACAACCCAGAAAATGCTGCTGCCTGACCAGTTGAGATTAGTTATTTCCTTTGCATAGTCATTTCACACAGGCTAAATCGTAGCGCTAGTGATACTCATGATGGGTGGGAGGAAATCTAATGTGTCCTTAAAATTAAGTTTAATCTAATTTGGGACCACAAACACTATTGTACATAAAACATAGTTGTATGGTTATTGTACAGCATCACTCCTAGGTAGAGTTAAGATATTTTGGGTGCCTTAACTGAATATTTCCAAACCTGTGCATGTTTGGATTTCTCTTAAGTTGAACCTTAACTCCAAATTTCGTGGATATGTAATGCTTGGTTTGACATAATTACAACATCTTCATAATGCTCTTACCCTTAAGACACTGAGATGCAGTCTCAAACTTAGCTCCACTTTAATTTAGTTTTTATCTGAGAGTTAGAATAAAGGTTTGTGCCAGCATTGTTGGCCCAAATTTCCCCTGACCATCCAACTTTGTGTAGCATGTGGTTTGCCACTTAGATGCCTGTATGCCCGACAATGTAGCATTTGACACATATATATGATAGCCCTTTTTCTAAAACACAATGCATATTTAAAACAATACACCTATCAAGAAGTGTGCAGAACCATCAGAGCAGACACGTGAACTGGTCACTGAAACCCCTAGCCTCGTCTCCCTGACCTGCTCTCTTTATGTATATATTCACTTATCTTGTTTTTGTTTAGCTCCGGATACTGCACACAAATTGAAGGCAATTGGACCACTTGCATGAACAGGATTATTTACATGAGTAAAACTTTGCAGGATCGGTTCCATGAAAGGATGCTACAATTATTATTATTAATATGAATAATAACAACAACTTTGACTGTGGATATGGAAAAGCAATTTATCTGTTGTACCCACTAAAACTCTGATCCACTTACTCTTATGCTTAAGTATTTGCAGGATAGGGGTTTAAGTTAGGAGTAATGTAGGACTACAAAAGACCTGTAGATATCTTGCATTGGAGTCTGTTTATGGTAAATCATTTCCCTAGTTTAATGCAGAATAGCAAAAAAGTGCATTTAAAGTAAGAAAAGAAAGACATGCTTGTACAAAAACAAAAAGACTAACCAATATTACTTAAAGCAAAGAAAAACACCAAATAACCATTTCATTAAAATAACAGAAAGAAAAAATACCTGTACTAAAAATTAACATTACAGACTTTTCTAATTAAATAATAATGGATTTTATTTTAAAAGAAAGGATGCACTGTACTAATCTGTTCTCTCTGATCACTGAATTATTTCAGCATTGTTAAGTTAATTAACAATTCAGAACCAAATACAAAGACTGCTGAAGTATGCAACCTTACCTTCACCTGCATATGCCAGAATAGAGCGGGCTCGCATCTGTTTTCCTTCTGTGGTTTTGCCTGAGCAGGTGTGAGAGCAGGAGGACCATCCAGACCACATGCTGAGTACACAATCCTTTGGGCATGGAACTTCACAGACAATGGGAATTGGATAGATAGCATCTCTACACAGCTGTCTGTCAACCTCTTCTCCTGGGAAAGAAAAGGCCAGTAGCAGTCTATCATTGTTAAATTAACTTAAAATGAGCAATCTAGCCCAGATGGGCACACAAATAAATTAGATTCTGTTGTTGTGTAAAAACAAAGTAAATAGATTACTCATCAGAATGACTGTCTTCTATGGCCTGATGTTAAAAGAACATGCCACAATTCTCAAATGTACTTATGTAGCAGAATTTGAACTCTGCTGAAATGTATATGGGTGTGGGTGGCTATTGTTATGTTTTCACTTGTCATAGCTACTGTAAATAAATCATGACTATACGATACACATGAACAAAATATATTATATACTCAAACAATGTAAGTATACTAGAACCAGGCAAGTGAGCAGGCTCAATTTGCAGGGGTTTCAGGAAAAAAAAATCTTAATTTTCAGTTCATGTAGTTTTCTCAACCCCCAAGTTTTAACATCCACAACTCAGTCAAAAAACAAAAAACAAAAACAAAAATCAAAAGCCTTTGCATTTCAGTTGGGTGTCAGACTGTGTAAAGCATTTAAGCAGGATGGGAACAAAGCTCCTCATTTGGTTCTAAAAGTTCTCTGTTAATTAGCAGGGCCAAACTCTGTCTCTGGCTAGGCCACAGATGTTTTGGGGTTCTCTTGGGTCAAGTTGAGGTGCACATCTAATTCTATACAAAGAGTCTCATTAATGGATTTTTTTTTTTTAAGGAAGTAGAGACTGGAGCGCCAATACCAGGATTACATTTAATGTCAGGAAGGAAATTAAGTGCTGCAGTTAAAACTAGGAATCTAAAACTACACAATGGACAAAACACTAGTTAATTTACAATAAGGAACACTGCAATAATTAATTGGGTCGAAGATCTATCTAGAATTATCTTATTCTAGATCTAGATTCTCTATCATTACTTCCATGTAAGATTTGTAAACAAATCCTTCATCTTTCAGTGAACTTGAAAGGAAGGGGCTTCCCTGCACAGCCCTGTACGCTGAACCAGCTATTGAGAAGAAGTCCAACTTTACCACTGAGGAAAACACAGAAGCTATTTGGGCAAAGGACAGTACAGAGAGGTGTTAATGGATGGAGGCTCCTGACTCCACAGTGTTGTGAAGAGTGAAGTCCAGGGAAAAGGTACATGAATACTGCCAAATGAGTCAATGGGTACCAAAAGGTTTCACTAACAGTGACTAAAGCACATTTCTCCTGAGTGTAAATCCTCATCCTGAATAGCAGAGGAAAACCAGGAATTAAGCAGTTTGGGGCCAAAATGAGTCTTCTAGAGACATGGTCTTGTCACCATAATGTGCATGCATCAAAGAATGAGAACCTAGTTATAGAAATCACTTTCAATAATTCTGGGGACTACACAGGACGGATTTCTGAGGTTCCATTCACCATTTATAACACTTTACTGAGATGGAAAAATCACAGCCTGTCAATGCCACTTTAACGTACTACATTTTGCTTCTTTCATTTCTCTTGTTTTTACTGTGCTGAACATTTTAAAATAGCTGTCTCAGAATCCCTGTAATATCAAATGTCAGCACAGAAAAAACTCTATTGCATTATGATTCATCCATTGAGATCTCCCTGAAATATGTTCACTCTCAATGGAACTCAATGAGAGTCCATTACAGTCCATTGGATCAAACGTTTAATAGCTAATGTCAATGAAATAATTTCACATCAAGATTTCCTATGAATTTAGTCCTTGATACAACAAAATATTTGGTAAAAAATAGGTACTGTGCTCTTTATGTCTCAGCAGTGAAGACTCAAGTTAATATTAATAACAGATGACCTTATTGTCAAAGGTTAAGTCAGTAGGAGCTGTGGGTACTGATAATCACAAGTCTACAAAAATTTGCTTTCTCCCAAGCACAAAGTTAGCCTTTTATTACTAAAATAGAATAAAAAATAATCTGAACCATTAAGAAGCCATCTAAATACAGACGACATGAATTTTGTGCAAATTGTACAGAATCTTAAAGCCTCTCTGTCACAGGCCAGGAATATACACATCAAGTTCCAAACTTTAAAAAAACATTTGTGTGAAAAAATAAATTCCTGAAAATCAGAGTTTTTACAATGGTACTGACATACTGTTACTCCCAGCATTGTTAATGTAATGCTATAATATGACATAGGGTTAAAAATAGATTCCTGCTAAAATGGGGCAATAAAGGGGGCTTGTTTTGATTTGGGTGCACTATTGTCTCCCAATTTCATCCCTGTCAAATCTTTTATTCACACTTGTTCTCGAGTCACAACAGGCAAAACCTCAAACCTGTCCTTGACAGAGTTAGTGATGTGCGAAGTTCTGAGGCTCATTTTGTATAAGTATCCTAAAGGTTGGGTGCTTATCTAAATTATCTGAACCTTTGAAATCAACCCATCAGGCTCTATGACAGTCACTTGTCAATCCCAATGGAACCTCATCCTTGTAAAAGGCCTCACACAATGCTCTCTTACCCCACAACCTCCCTCAGTGGGCTCTGGCTCCTCCCCTCTGCAGCTCCTTTAAATTATGAAGGGCTAACCTGGATGGTCACTGCTGTAATAGCATTGGAAATCTGGATTCCTGTTTGCCTCATCAAGATGAAATCTGATTGGGTTGAAGGGGAAGGAGTGGACAAGCATTCCCTGAAGAGGCTCAGTGTCAGAGTAAGGATACATACTATTCTCGTATTGCTCGTATTGCTCCATCTCAAGGCAAGACTCAATGCTGGAAACTTCCATGTTTTCTATGTTCGAAAAAAGCGCCTACTGTAACAATGAAGATTACAGTGGAAAAGCATAGGGCTATGTTAAAATTTCCTCATCTCTGCTCTCTTGGGGAAGTATTTAACTAGAAACTCAAACCAAGTTTGATTTCACTGTGAGGGATGAAGTTAATTACAGGCTTAGTTTGGTCCATATTTAAACCGGAAAAGTTCACCCTTACAAATCAGAGTTCTTTGTATGTTAACTGTTTGTTATAACAGATCATGGCTCTGGGTTATCCCATTCTTTTATTGAACAAGTATTCAGGAAACCGGATACATTTAGCAAATTAAGATCCAGAAGTTGTCAAAAGTCCAATTTTTATATCACTGGTGGCAAAAAAATGGAGAACAGTTTTAGAAGATAATATTTTATTATGGATATTTCATGTATTTGGAGGTTTATTATATTTAGACTAAATTGTTTCTAACATTTCACTAATGCTTTTATGAGCATCCTTACTTTTGTTGCTACCTTCTTTAAAGTGCATAATATATTCAACTACCAGAAATCATTTGACCATATGTTGTCATCAATGACCAGAGTAAAGACCACACCCATTTGGAAGAAATCCCACCAGATCAAAGTTGTCATCAATAGTGTAAAGTTTTATTTTTATACTACTATATTTATATGGCATGGCAGTCAAGCATAGTACTTCGCAGAGCACTTACCATCTAAACAGACAAAATATTAAGAAATAACAGACAAAAAAGGGTTATTTTGTCAGGGCGGGGACATAGGCGGTCTGGTCTAACAGTTCATGTAGGGTAGAGGACCAGGTCCCCACACCATCCAGAGTTCAGAACCAGAAAATCAGGAGCCAAGGTCAGGAACTGAGTAAGATATCAGGAATCAGTCCAGGTCAAGAAACCAAGAGATCCAGATCAGGATATGACCCAGAGATCAGGAACCATGAATCAGATACAAGGAATCAGGCCAAGTCGGGAAATCAGGAGATCAGGACCAGGAGACAATAGTAGGTAGCATTGCGTGAGCAGTCCAAAGCAGGCTAGAGCTCAGTTGTATAGACGACTTCCTGTTCCTCCTTCTGGCTTAAGCAGGGGGAGCAGACTAATCAGGAGCTCGGGTGTTCTGCCAATTAGGGGTCGGGCTGAAGCCTCCGATCTGAGCTGGGCTTCAAATAGTCCTGGTTCTAGCTGATGCCAGCAAGCTATCAGGTGGAGGGTTGGTGCATTATGTCTCCCCTGCAGATCTGGTTTAGGACTCATGGGTTATGACACTTTTTTCCTCCCTAAATTCTACTTTTATTTTTGTGTGAATCATTTCCTATTTCTTGTTGTGTTTTTGTTTTACTATCTCTTTCCTAACTTACTTTCCTATGTTTTCAACTTACTTTCTATTTTCCTTTAATGTTATTCCTTTATTTGCATGATACTTAATCTGTCATAAATTAGAGGACATCCATTAAAATTCAGCTCTGAGTGATAGCTCCTATTTTTTAAAAAGCGCCTACCTAGTTGGGCAATATTTCTATGATACAATCTATAATGCAGATGCCACACTAGGTTCACTTTCTAGTGCAGGGAGGTGCAAACTGCACATGCGAGAGCTGCTCTGCACAGGGGTGGTGGGAGGGATTCACTCCTTACCACAGGAAAGGACAGGCTATGTTCTTCAAGGGTTCCACAAGTGTCAAGAGCAGATTTAGTCTTTGCTTGGGCTCTACAGGTACCCCATCAGTGGTCTTCCTACCCTCAACCTCACCCTCTTCCCCAGGCAATGTCATGCCAGCTCCCAGTGGAAGAGTGACTGATGACATCATTACAAGATTCCTCTGGGCATACTTTCTGCTGCTGACACATTCCATTTGTGTATGTGCCAGCACCACAACTGAAGTTGGCCCAACCGGCAAGAAGCACTTTATTTTTTTTAGACCAACAAGTCAGACTTATACAGACCAGCTGCACCCTGCGAATGGCAAACTCTTGCTACAGCAGAATAGGCTGCATGCTCATAAGTATCAGAGTAAATTTCCATGTGATGTTATTCAGCATAACAATCCCTTTTACTGCACTCCCAAAGCAGGCTCTAAATGAGGACACTGAAGACAATACAATAAAACCAGCTCTATTAAGACAGTGCATGCCTAGGTGCATTGTAAAAAATGCTTACCTGAAGCAAATGGGGTGGCAAGTAAAGGAACATTTGGCCCTTTATTTTTAAAGCCCAAATGTAAAGTAAAACCTTTATTGGACTCAATAAGCCACACAAGACAACTGA